CCCCATTTGGGGTCGAACGGCCATTTCACAGGGGTCGCCAAACAAGGCTGTCCACCATTTCCCCCCCTTTTCTTTGGCCACGCCCCTGGCACCCGGTGATGTATAAGTGGTTGGGGGTCACCACAACATGGGGAACTGTATTATGGGGTTGCGGCATTAGAAAGGTTGAGAACCACTGGTTTAAGAGAAGAATGACTGCTCAAAATCACCCTGTCTGTTAAGGGAGGACTAGGACTAGTTTGATTTATAACCCAATTCTTTAACCACTACCATATTGTCTTTCTTAAAAATTTAATTGTAGGGAAGGAGTAAAAAGGGACTGCAATAGAAAATAAATTGTTCTGCCCCATTTAACTCTTCTTTAATTAAAAGAAAGAAATACCCAAACTTCTATTATCTACAAACATGTTCTAGAACAGCACTGCAAATCTGAATATTTAAGGAATATTTGATCATGTTTGTAATATTACTAATATATTGCTAGACCTAGTCAGACTCTTGAGGTACCCTTTCATCTATATTTACCTGATTCAGGAACTGGAACTGGAAATGTACTGTTGATTCCAATTTTCTTAACTTGGGGTTGTGCACATGTGGCATTGTGCATGTGTACAAGGGCAGTATATTTTTATTTTTTATTTATTTGTATCCCACTTTCATTATTTTTACAAATAACTCAAGATGGCAAATATATTCAACTTATCTTCTTTCTCCTATTTTCCCCATAACAACAACCCTATGTCATGTCTGACTTGTACTCCCCTCACAAACCAGACAATAGAAACAGAGAGTGGGGTGGGCAGGTTTGGAATGTAAGGGAGGCTTGGGGGGGAATTGTGGAGTAGAAGAATGCTGACTGTCGCCTGGCAACTCTTGGTGCCCAAGGTCAAATAATGGGAAGTTCTTAGGTGTTCAGACAATGTCCCAAAACAAATTGACTGTAGTTGATTCAAGAATAGAATAGAATAGAATAGAATAGAATAGAATAGAATAGAATAGAAGCTGGAAGGGACCTTGGAGGTCTTCTAGTCCAGCCCCCTGCTCAAGCACGAAAACCTATATCATTTCAGACAAGTGACTGTCCAGTCTCTTCTTAAAAATCTCCAATGATGGAGTGCCCACAATTTCTGAAGGCAAGCTGTTCCACTGGTTAATTGTCCTCACTGTTAGGAAGTTAATTAAGTTAATTAAATTCCTTAATTCCAGGTTGCTTCTCTCTTTGGTCAGTTTCCAACCATCGTTTCTTGTCTTGCCCTCTGGTGCTTTGGAGAATAGTTTGATCCCCTCTTCTTTGTGGCAGCCCCTCAAATACTGGAATACTGCTATCGTGTCACCTCTATTTCTTCTTTTCTTTAGACTAGCTAAACCCAAGTCCTGCAGCCGTTTCATATGTTTTAGTCTCCAGGCCTTTGATCATTTTAGTTGCTCTTCACTGAACTTTTTCCAAGGTCTCAACATCTTTTTGTACTATGGTGACCAAAATTGGTTGCAGTATTCCAGATGTGATCTCACTAGGGTTTTATAAAGCGGTACTAATATTTTGTGTGATCTTGATTCTCTGCCTCTGTTTATATAACCCAGGATTGTATTACCTTTTTTGGCTGCTACTGCACACTGCTGGCTCATAGTCAAGTGATCGTCCACTAGAATTCCAAGGTCTCTCTCACAGTTGCTGTTTTTGAGCCAGGTCTCGCCTAATCTGTACTTAAAACTTTGATTTTTCCTGCCTAAATGTAAAACTTTGCTTTTCTCCACATTAAAACTCATTTTGTTGGATAGGGCCCATTGTTCAAGTTTGTCTAGATCTTTTTGGATCCTGAGTTTGTTTTCTGGAGCGTTGGCTACTCCTGCCAGTTTGGTGTTATCTGCAAATTTGATGAGTTTTCCTTCAATTCCCTCATATAAGTGATTAATGAAGATATTGAAGAGTACTGGGCCAAAGACGAATTCTTGTGGTTCCCCACTGCTTATTCCTCTCCATGTGGATGTAGTACCATTGAGGACTACTCGCTGAGTACAGTTTGTTAGCCAGCTACAGATCCATCTGATGGTGTTGTTGTCTATTCCACTTTTTTCTAGCTTACTAAGCAGCAGGTTGTGGTCTACTTTGTCAAATGCCTTGCTGAAGTTAAGTACTATGTCCATAGCATTTCGCTGGTCTACTAATTTAGTCACTTTATCAAAGAATGAAATAAGATTGGGTTGGCATGATCTGTTTTTGACAAACCGGATTGGTAGACAATGGACAGTGGGTGGCCCAGGAGAGAAAAGGGGATTTTATTTATGCCTCTTCGTGCATGAAAACTTCAGAACTGGCTTTGCTTCTTCTGTGCTTATGTGGAATTATCAGTAAAATTATACTCTTGGTAAAATAATGATGATGATGATGATGATGATGATGATGGAAGGCACCTTGGAGGTCATCAAGTCCAACCCCCTGCTCAGGCAGGTAACCCTATACCATTTATCCCAGAAGTTTCTTTTGCTGCATATGCCAACAGGATGGTTGGCACCCTAATTTTACTATTGTGGTTGATATACACTCAATTTTACACATCTTGGTTCCCCCCCCCCAATATTTCTTTTTATAGTAATGAAGGTTCTCAGGACTTTGAAACAGTATTGCTACTTGTGTGCCTCTAGAGCATGGCTGGCTCAGGAATTCTGGGAGTTGAAGTCCATGAGTCATAAAAGAGCCGAGGTTGCCTACCCCTGCTCTAGAGTTACTAAGAACTATACATGCTTGTTTGATACCTTGTTCTTCTGTAGTAGTGCTGGTGCTGACCAGTGAAAACATTTACATCAGTGCTTCTCAACGTTTGTGTGATGGCGACCCCCGTAATACAAACGTTCTGCGCATGCGCAGCGCGCATGCACGGCGCCCCCCCATGCGCGGCGCGCATGCGCGACGCCCCCCATGTGCGGCGCGCGTGCACGGCGCCGCAAAAAATGGCGGATCGCCGCCTTTGGCGACCCCCGAAAAATGGTCGATTGACCCCAAATGGGGTCGCGACCCATAGGTTGAGAACCGCTGATTTACATACTTCTAACTCTACAGCTGACTAAAGACATTAGTAAAACAGATTATGAAACAGATAACAAAAGCTTGGACCTTGGGGAGTCTTGAATAATTGACTAGAAAGTGTTGCAAGTAAAGGCCTGATAGCAAGGAGTGTATTGGTTAAGATTTGATAAAGAATGTTAGTACTAGCTATGTGTGTTAGTCCACAAGATATTGCAAATTAGCAAGCTTTTGGGGGGCAAGGGCACACCTAGAATTCTGTTTGAGGGCATAGTGAATTCAGAAATTGTCTGCCAAGAGAATACTTACATATAGAGCATATGCCATTGCAAAAAATTTATTACAAAGGCCTTAGAAATTATTCCTTTTTTATTGTGCTGTTATGGTTTAAAGAGAGATGAACCGTCTCACCCTGATGGGACTGGCCCACTCCACCTGTTCTGCCAGAGGGGACACATTGTGGATCCCATCAGCTAAGGAATTTAGGCTGGTAGGCTCCAGGAGAAGAGCCTTCTCTGGCATGGCTCCGGCCTTCTGGAACATCTTATAGGGGAGCTTCATATTGGAGGTGGTTGATTAATTAAAACTTAATCTCACCTCCCCACCCTCTGTGTGTCTGGCTCCCCTTTTTCTCATCTGGTATTAATGGTTTGTATTGGTTAAATGATTTTATCTGTTGTGTTCTGTGATTGTTGATTTTAATGTTTTTTTAATGCTTTAATGTTTTTATGTGTAATCCACCCAGAGTCATTGGATACGAGATTGGGGCAGGTTGTTCCACTGATTAATTGTTCTAACTGTCAGGAAATTTCTCCTTAGTTCTAGTTTGTTTCTTGTTTCCACCCGTTGTTTCTCGTCCTGCCTTCAGGCGCCTTGGAGAATAGCTTGACTCCCTCTTCTTTGTGGCAGCCCCTAAGATATTAGAACAGTGCTATCATGTCATCCCTCATCCTTCTCTTCATTTAACTAGACATACCCAATTCCAGCAACTGTTCCTTATATGTTTTAGCCTCCAGTCCCCTAATCATCTTTGTTGCTCTTCTTTGTACTCTTTCTAGAGTCTCAACATCTTTTTTACATCATGGTGACTAAAACTGGATGCAGTATTCCAAGTGTGGCCTTATCAAGGCATTGTAAAGTGCTATTAACACTTCACGTGATCTTGATTCTATCCCTCTGTTAATGCAGCCTAGCACTGTGTTGGCTTTTTTGGCAGCTGCAGCACACTGCTGGCTCTTATTTAAGTGATTGTCAACTAAGACTCACAGTTACTACTATTGAGCAAGGTACCACCTATACTATACCTGTGCATTTGTTTTTTCTTGCCTAAATGTAGAAGCTTACTTTTTTCACCATTGAATTTTATTTTGTTAGATAATGCCCAATGTTCAGCTCTGTCAAGATCCTTCTGTATCTTAAGCCTGTCTTCTGGAATCTTGGCTATTCCTGCCAGCTTGGTATCGTCTGCAATTTTGATAAGTTCCCCATCTATCCCCTCATCCAAATCATTGATGAAGATGTTGAAGAGCACTGGGCCCAGAACAGAACCCTGGGGCACCCCACTACACACTTCCCTCCATGTAGATGCAGTTCCATTGAGGACCACATGCTGAGTACGGCCAGTCAACCAGCTACAAATCTATCTGGTGGTGATGCTGTCTAACCCACATTTTTCTTATCAAGTAGTAGGTTGTGGTCTACTTTATCAAATGCTTTACTTGAAGTCCAAATAAATTATATCCACAGCATTCTTCTGGTCCACTAATTTTGTCACCTGGTCAAAGAATGCAATAAGATTTGTCTGGCATGATCTGTTTTTGACAAACCTATGTTGGCTTTTGGTAATGACTTTGTTTGCCTCTAGGTGTTCGCTGATTTGTTGCTGTACAACAATATTGTATGTAATAAATTTTTTTCAAAAAAATATACAGTATTTTTTATTGTCATGATCATTGCTTTTTCTTTGATTCATTTTTAGCTCTTCTTCAACGAGTAGCTGAACTAGAGAAAGTCAATGCTGAATTTCTACGTACAAAACAGCATCTCGAGCAAGAATTTAATCAAAAGAGAGCCAAGTTTAAAGAACTGTATCTGGCTAAAGAAGGTAATGTTTAATTATTACAAGTAGATGTAAAAATGCTAACTCTTAACTAAGATGGCTAGGTAGAGAATTAATATTTTTTGAGGGAATGTACTGTTTGAGAAAATATATGTGAGGATCTTTCCCACACAGAAAAGCATTATTCTCCAGTACAGGAGATAGAGAATCCACCAATGGGTTTTCTCTGTTTGCCTGCTCTTGAGACCAAGTAGCCAAACTTGACACGCCCCCTCTTGCTAGGAGACCCAGTCTTGACTTGGTCTCAAGCTCTTGAAGACATAGCAAGTTTGGCTCTCAGGTTTAGAGATCTTCAATTCAATTTAGCAGGTCAGAGACCCATTGTTGAATTCTCCTTGCTTTAGATTTGATATTTCTACATTCCCTAATTAGTGATTCCCTTTAAAAAAAAAAAATTCTTTCCCCAGAAAATTTTTTCCCCAAAAACTCTGGGATCAGCGCAGCCTCAAATCGGCTGATTTGAGGCCTCTGGGGGTGCAGGGGAAGTTCTTCTCTGTTCATTTCCCCAGGGCTCTGGGGGGGGGACGAAAATCTCTTGCCAGTTCCCCCATTGGTTTTCCTGCGCAGCGCTCAGCGCTGCAACCACAGTCAACCCCAGAGTTTCCCCTTCATCCTCGACACCTCCGGAGGCCATTTTCAACGGCCCGAAAGTCGCAGCTACCATTTTGGATGGCTGCCGAGTTTTCAGACTTAATGGAGATTCCCCTTTGTCGTCAGAAACAAATCCTGCAGGCAATTAATTCGGCATTTCTGTGTTTTTGGGAGAAGGGCCTCAGGAATCTTAGTATATCCTTGCCGGTCCTGGGAAACTGCAACCAAGTGCCCCGCGGCCGCCATTTTGGGCACGCCACGCGGCCGGCCCTGTAAACGCTCTTAAGCCGGATTGAATGCTGAAGGCCTCTGCGTGCCACATAGTCTTTCCCCTGGGCTTCAGGCCACTCACACGACCTTGGCCACCCCAGGGATTTCGGCAGAGCCAGTTGCGGCCGCCATCTTGGGAACATTGTGAGGCCCTTCCTCTGGTCTACAAATCAGACCTCCTATACTGACTGCAGGCCCCAAGATCCCCTACAGGGTCTTTTCAATATTCTGGCTACTTCTCAGCCCGTCTGAGAAACTATTTTAGCCCTATCCAGTGACTGCCATTAGGCCTCATTAACTGTATCATTATTTACAGCCAATAATTACCTGACTAGGCCCAAATTCTCAGGCCACCCAGAGCGGGTCCCCAACCGTGCCTTCGGCATCTGACTCAATTGCCATGACCAAAGCCCAGAGAGAATTTTTTTCTGGTCAGGTGGTCAGGGGAGCAGTCTTTTTTTTGTAAAAATTTTTATTTTCAATTTTACAATACATAACAATCTTACAAATACTTCAGATAAAAAATAAAACAAATTGATACACACCACATTCGGTCTTGCCCACCCATTTCCCCCCAAACCGCATCCCACCTCAAACCAACTTACTTCTTTCCCTCTTTTTCTTCACTCACCCCCTCTCCTCCTTCACCTCAACCTTCCTACTTACTTCTCACCTTCTTCTTCTCCCTCTTGATGCGGTCCAGGGGAAATGCCCGAGCAGTTCCTCTCTCAAAATTAAAACATTAATATTATATACAATAAGACTATTTCTACTTTATCTGAACTACTTAAACTTCAACCCATCAAATCACCAAATTCCACCATTCCACCAAATCATAATCAAGGCTTTAATAACTTTACAAGTCCACCAAACATGAAAATAGGTTGCATCCAAGAAACCACATCTCCAACATTTAGGTTGCAGGTTCGGGTACATACAGGACAGCTTTTTAGGATCCAGATGCCATCTATAAAACATTTTATAAAAATTTTCGCTCAAATTCTGGGCCTGCGTAAATTTAACATTTCTAGTCCAAATTACCTCCCATAGGTCCAACGAGATCTTGAATATTCTGGGCCCATTTAATCATACAATCTTTAACTAACTCTGTTTCTGAATCCAATTTTATTAACTCATTATAAATTCTTTTAATATGGGCACATTTCTGATCCTTGATCTGAATTACCAAATTTTCATCAACTAAAGTAATTCCCACTTTCTTATCCAAAGTCCATCTCTGCACGATTTGCAAATATTGAAACCACGATTGTAAAATGTTTTCTTGCCTTAACACATCAGAAGGGGAGCAGTCTTGTTACTTGTTCCAATTTTGCTTTCGTCAACTGCTTGCCTGCCAGAGCTTCGCCTCAGTTTCTCTGTCCTTGCATGTCATGAGAAAATTTTTAAAAGGTATTAGGCCAGCTTAGATTTGACAGATATTGGCATTAAACAAACTCATGAAATTAGTGGAGAAAGAATTGGAAGCTCTGGGCCATAGCATTAAATAGGTCTTTTCCAGGCCTGGGAGACAGATGAATAACTTGGATTCATAATGTGAGTTCATAAACAAATCTGAGCAGTCATAATGATAACTATTCTGATGTTTGGTATGTTCAGGATTCTCCAGATTATGTTACAATATGACTCCCTAATATGTAGGAAATAAAATAAATGCTTACACCATTAGCTTTTGGGATTGAAGGAACTTTTGGGTAATGAAGAAAATAGAGAACATTTCTAAAAATTCACAGAAGCCAGTTTTCAATTTTGAAAAGGCACTCTTCCTAAATACACAAGAAAGCCCCTTTGTTGCTTTTCTGAAGGAGCTACATTGCATGTCCTCCCACACTGGTGTTTTTCAGACCTTTTCCCCAAAGGTGCTTTTTCCCAAAGGCTACTGGACTTTCTTCTTATTATTATTTTGCTTGAAAATGTTTTGCTTCTCATCCAAGAAGCTTCTTCAGTTCTGACTGAATGGTGGGGAATAGAAAGATTTCTATTCTTTGCAGTCATCTGGTTGTTAGCACTCTGATGGTCGATTCTATTCAAATTTTGTCAGTCAGAACTGAAGAAGCTTCTTGGATGAGAAGCAAAATATTTTCAAGAAAAAAAACTCCAAGGAAGTCCAGTTGCCTTTTGAAAAACACTTTTGGGACAACTATGACCTGGATGATTGAAAATCTCCATAGACATTCAGATCTTTTTGTTTTTCAGTCCCCTTACCTTCAGAAGAAATATTCCTCTATATTCCCCCCTACTTTCTGTTTCGTGTCTTCCTTGTTTCTCCTGTCAAAGAATAATGGAGGTCACAGGGCTTTATAGAAGAAAGTGAAAAGTGGCACTTGAGTGGTGGCACATTTTTAAAACTTCCATAACAGGGTATTTAGTTACATTGACAGTTTCTCTGATTTCCAAAATCATCCAGAAGACCTCAGCAGGCCTCATCCATTGGTTAAAGTAGGCAGATTGTGTTGGTTCTTATGAATCCATTGGCACATGAGCTTTGTAACTGTCCAAAGCTTCTCCAAAGTCTGTTCTTTATCCTTATTTGGAGCTGTTCCAGGAAGCAATCTGGATATTAGAAGACAAATAGTTGATCAAATTGGGTTATCTATCAGAGGTTCTGAATACTATCATCTGGATGAACTTTCAAGAACAGAATATACAAAACAAGATAAAAGGCTTTCAAAATCTAATGTCACAAAGCACAGAAAGATAGCATTTTTCTGATATTAAGGAGGCCGCAAGGTTTTTTAAAAATTGTTTTTAATTGTGAACAGTGTTCAGCTGAGTGTATAGAAGTCTATAATTATAGTTTGGTATGTGGTTAAGGTAGGTTATTTCTAGGACAATCCAATCTGAAAAGGTAGGGCAGCTTCTCCCTGCAGAAAGCACACTTGGGTCTGCTGAAGAAGAGGCGTGGTCTCAAGATTAAAAAATATCCTCCATAACATCCTAAGATGACAAATTCATGGTGAGTATAAGGTCTGCTTTCTGACACTAGGAAGTATGATTCCATAATAAAAAGCAGTTTTAAAAGAACAGTATAGATTTCAGTATTCCAAGCTTATCATAGAGTTGGAAGGGGAACTGAGAATGAGTCATAAAGCTAGAATAATAAACTGGGTGTAGAATTTATACAGATTTGCTTACAGCTACTTGAATATTAGCGGTAAGTGGAAGTTTCTCCCCCTGCCTCCAGAAATCTCTAAAATAAATAAATATTTATATAATTATTCCCTATTGTTTTTAAAGAGGATCTGAAAAGGCAAAATGCAGAATTGCAGGCAGCACACGATGATCTGGAGAAATTACAAAAGCAGCTCATGGAAGCACAGGCTGAAATGGAGAACATCAAAGCCATTGCTACAGTGTCTGAAAATACTAAACAGGAAGCTATTGATGACGTAAAGAAGCAATGGCAGGAAGATGTTGCCTCTCTGCAGGCTATAATGAAAGGTAGGACTAACAAAAATGGATCGATTGTTAGGCCAGTTTCATACTACTAATATCTCCGATATATAGCTTGCTATTCCAAACCTCTATACAGAGAAACTGCCTACTTCAGATAGCTCTTGTGGAAAGGAAACTGCACTAAATTGACTCAGAAGAATGATTTGATATATGAGGTCATTGTTTGGCATCATCTGGGGTTTCTTTAATTTTGTGGATTCACATTTTTGTTATAATTTAAAAATACCCACCCTTGCTTGTGTTAAAAGTTGGTTCAGACAGACTTCCAAAAATAAATCAGCTCGTCATAAAAATTATGACTCCTGGTAATAGAATTTTTCTATTTTTTAAAAAAGGATATATACTTAAAAAGTGAATAAATTTAATTAGAGAATAAAATAGAGCTGGAAAGGATCTTGGTGGTCTTCTAGTCCAGCCGCCTGCTCAAACAGGAGAACCTATAGCATTTCAGACAGGTGACTGTCTTGTCTCTTCTTAAAGACATCCAGTGCCCAGGATTTCTGGAGGCAATCTGTTTCGCTGGTTAATTGTCCTCACTGTCAGGAAGTTTCTCCTTAATTCCAGTTTGCTTCTCTCTTTGGTCAGTTTCCAACCATTGTTTCTTGACCTGCCCTCCAACCTGAAGCAGATGTATATGAAAAGCAACCACATTAATAAAAACAGGCTAGAACAGTTCTTACTGACAACTTAATGTTTACAGAAGAATGTATGTATGTGTAGTGGCAATTAGTTATGACTCTTGTACTCTGCTCAGATTTTATATTTCAGTTTCAGACGTGCAATTTTAAATACGTTTTTAAAAAAACAAAAAATATTGATAACTGCATGAGGTATTATGGTATTTTTGTAACCATTTTGCATTTACCATTAATATCTGGAACATTCTCCAGTGTAGAAAAGTTTACAGAATCATTTCTATCACTGCCATTAGAACACACAGTATGGTTTGAATCTTTTAAGTGTAACTACAGCATCTACATTTTCTATATTTACTTGGAAAATATACTCCAGACTTGATGCTTAATCATAAGCTGTACAAATTTAGTGAAGGTGTCATTTCCTGTTCTAGAAGATTTTATTCTAGTAAACTATCAGACTAACCCCTGACTTGTTGGATTGGCGCATTTTAGGTGTATGCCAAATAATATGCTTAAGAGTCTCACTCTGGTCTTCTGGTGGTTTTGTAATAAGATTGTCAGCAAAAATGATTTGTTGTAATTGTTATTCAGAAACTGTCCGTGAATATGAAGGCCAGTTTCATCACAGGCTGGAACAAGAGCGATCTCAATGGAATCAGTATCGAGAGAATGTCGAAAGGGAAATAGCAGAGCTGAGAAGGCGACTTTCAGAAGGTCAAGAAGAGGAAAACTTGGAGAATGAAATGAAGAAGGTCAGTCAGGATAGAGCAGTTTCCCAACCTTGGCAACTGGGTGGGCTTCAACTCTCAGAATTCTCCAGCTAGCATTCAATAAAAAATGGAACCATATCCTTTAATTATGCTGCTTGATAGTAGAATAACAAATTGGGCTGGTCCCACCCTCACTGTTTCTAAGTTTTTGAGCTCTGTCTAAAACGCTTTTATTTAGTCTTATTTTTTGTGCATAAAAGCAAGAGTTATTTTATTTGTTTGTTTGTTTGTTTAATTGTTTTAAAGGTTGGTCTGAAAATACCACTAGGAGGCATTAAAATAAAAAGTTATGCCATGGAATAATTTTAAATTTTTATCACTGAAATTTGTCCCAAAACATTGAAATGTTTTAAAGCCCAGTTTTAAAGTTCATTTCTTTGTTTAATTTCTTCCTTATTGGTATATAATTACTTGTAAAGATTTTAATAATGCTTTAGCAATAGTGATACCTAAATATTTTAAAGATTTATATACTATTGGAATCCCTAAAGGTGTGGACATTTCCTTTTGAGGTTTTTTGGATTTACGGAGAAACATCAAATGTAATTAATGAAAATTAGGTGACGGTTCTTATACCTCTACAAGGACCTCTTAATTTCTTCTTAATATAACTAGCTAAATGAAAAGCATTTGAAAGAGTTAAGATTATCTCATCTGCAAATAGATTTAAAAGATGCATTTTATCTCCCATTTTTATCCCTTTAATCTGATTATTGGATCTAATTGCTGTTGCCAGGATCTAATTGCTGTTGGTGATGAAAGATAATCCTGCTTGGTACCTCTTAAAGTCATGATGGGATCTGAATCATAGCTGTTAAGACATATCTGGGCATTAGTTGGTCCATACATACAGTATGTTTAATCAACTTACTGAAGCCAGCCAAATTTAAACTAATTTTTATTTTAAAAATTGTGCTTCCAGAGATGAAAGGTTTAAATACATCTAAAGAACATATAGTTAATGAAGATTGATTTATTATACCAATTGGTATAATATTTAATAGTTTCCTAATGGGATAGATATATTACACTTTGGAATAAAGCCAGATCAATCCATAAGAATAATTTCACACAATCACTTTTAATTGGTTGGCTAACAGTTCAGTGTACAGTTTATAATTCATTTTGAGAAGTGAGATGGGCTTATAAAATGCCAAATCCTGGGGATTTTTATTTGATTCAATATTACCTTAGAGACTGTTTCTAAGATTCTGGTAAAGGTTCCCCTTAATGCAAAGTATTGCATAAAAATAGAAATTCAGGTACTAAAATCTCTTTAAATGATTTATAAAATTTCTCTGACAATCCATCAAGGCCATGAGACTTTCCATTTGGAATAGTATTCAAGACTTCATTGATCTCTGAAAGAGAAAAGGAAATTCCATAAATTGTATATCTTTGGGAGCCAATTCTGTGAATGTTAATTTATTTAAATATTATTGGTTTTTATTGAGGAAGGATTATTTGAGAAATATAATTGCTGAAAAGTTTGAATTGTTCACTTATACCTTTAATTTTGATCATTTTTAATTGCACTTAACATATTTTTCTTCTTAGCTTTTTTCAGTTTATTTGCCAGTACAGTACTCATCTGGGTTATACATTCTCCCTTTAATACTGCCTTCGTAGCGTCCCCTCTTGTTCTTACTGATGCTTGATTTGTATGATTTTCTTGAAAAGGGTTTCTCGTTTCTCGTATTCTTGTTTTGTTGCTTCATTATATAGTATTATATTAAAATACCAATTGTAAGTAAGTGAAACTATCTCTTCTAATTTGAAGGTGGTAATCACTGGAACATGGTCTGATATAAGCAAATTTAACTTGTTGCAGAAAATTTGTAACAGTTTTAGAACTTTGTTTTCTGCCAGAGTAGTGACATGGTGTTCTGGATTTAGGGATATTGTTTTCTCCCCTGTCATGGTCAGATCACTTCCTGTCTGGTGAGTCTTCACTTCTCTGGCATTACTTCTCCTTGCACCTATAGTGGCATCTGTGGCTAGGAAAGCCTTTGCATTGTCTTTCAGCAGAGTCACTTATAAAGATGGATAGAAATAAAAACTGGATGGATGGATGGATGGATGGACAGATAGATAATTCTTAATTTGGTGAATAGATAAGCTTTATATATGTGTTAAATTTTTGTTCTTTTTTTGTCCTTGTTTTTGTCTTTTTTGTATCATTACACCCTTTGTTTCTATGCTACCCTAATTGCCTTATTTCTTTATAGTAAAGCAAATACATAAGCATTTAAAGATTTGGTGACATACATTCACAGGCTTTGTAAACTTGTTTTTGAAATCTGTATAAATCATAATACTATGTTTCTGCTAAAACATGTTTTGTTTATGGATGGGGCAAGGTATTTTGTGTTTAGCTTGTTATTTAGACTAAAAATAATAGTATTGGTTGAGTCTTTTAGGAAGCAAGAAGCAATTTGCTGCAATACATCATCTACTTAGAAGGCAATAAAATATTGGGATTTTCTTCTTTATGCACATGTATATTGTACAGTTGTACAGTTCGGGCTTCTCTGCATAGTTATATTACTGACATGTCACACATATTTGTAAATAGTGGCTGAATCAGAAGACTATTGGTTATCTGAGTAGCACTCAGTCAAAAGTTAAAACAGTATAAAACAAGGGTGTCAGACTGGCGGTCTGCAGGCTGGATGCATCACATGTAGGCCACGCCCACCCCAGCTCCACAAAGACAAAAAAAGTCACAATATGTCACGTGACGCAATCGAGTTTGACACCAGTGGTATAAAAGCTGTATTAAAACTATAAAAATTAGGCACAAATACAAAAACCTGGCATTCATCTTATCCCAGCGCTTGGGGGGAAAGCCAAGGCTTCAGAGCTTTATGAAAGGCTAGGAGGGTAAAGGGCTGCTGAATTTCAGGGAGAAGAGTGTTCTATAGGGTATGGGCTGCCACAGAAAAAGCATGAAGAGGAGCTAGCTTCCATAAGATATTAGGAGGAAGGGACTAAGAGTGTGGAGATATGTACTAGGGTATCATCATCATACTGATGATACTGGCCCCCATGTTGATGGATGTCCTCCCCTACTATTTTTGTCCCCTAGTCGCTTGGGTGTATCCAGATAACTAATGTTAAAAATGAGCAGAGAAAAAGGGATCGAGGACACCCCATATTGCAGGAGCTAGGGCTCTCTTACCAAAACCAAATGAAAGTGGACATGGAAGAAGGTGGGGAACTACCATAATATAGTGCCTCAAAGTTTAAAAATATAGAAAAAATTTAATATATTACTCTCAAAAGCCTGTTTGTCAATAGTAAAGATTTTATCTTAAAATATTGTAATTTCTTTGACTGTTGTGAGCTTCCCAGAGTCACTGAGAGTCAGATGGCATACATATTTAATTATAATCAACAACAGCAACAATCCCCAGATGGTATCCCCTGATATCTCTAATGTTTTAAAATTAAATTTGGATTAGAAATAGCCAAAAACATTCTGTTATCTTCTTAGGAATTTTTACAAGATTTCAGTTGAAAATAGAAATTTCTAGTCTGATGGCCAGAGACATTTTGATTCACAATAGTCTTCACTGAACCCAGGTGGCTTTGAAATTGTCAACGTAGTAGTGTGTCTTTTATACATTCAGCACAAAAGAAATCTGTTGCCTAAAACTGATATTGAAAGTCTATTAGCTTTCAGTCAATAGACTGATGACTAAAATCAGGTCACAGCTGGATTTATTGTATCATTTAATGTTGATTTCAGGCTCAAGAAGATGCAGAAAAACTTCGTTCGGTTGTGATGCCCATGGAGAAGGAGATTGCAACTTTAAAGGATAAACTGACTGAGGCTGAAGAAAGAATAAAAGAGCTGGAAGCTTCAAAGGTGAGGAAAACAAAATACTAACAATAAGTGCTGAGGAAGAGTACAATAATTACCCATCTATCAACAGTACACATTGTTTCTTTACTTTGCAGCATGCTGTTTTTCTTGTTCTTTGGGACAGGAAACATGGTGACACTATAGGAGATTTCTATTGTCCAACTCACTAAGCATTCTAAACAGATTTAAAAATAACAGTTATCTCTGTGTCCTCTCTTCTCTTTCAACTCTCTCTATGCCATGGCATCATCACTTTCTTCAAAACTTAGAGCTGTAGCTTTGCTTCATCTGCATCTTGCTGAATACATTTTGAATTTACTAAGAAAACGGAGGTTTACTAGTGAGCGTTAAAACTCAATGAAGATTTAATTAATTAATCAGAATAATGCTGGAAGGGACCTTGGAGGTCTTCTAGTCCAACTCCCTATTCAAGCAGGAGACCCTATACCAGGGGTACGCAGCCCAAAACACTCAAAGAGCCACTTGGACCCGTTTCCCACCCAAAACAAAACACTGGGAACCGCAAAACCCTTTTGATATCTAAAATGAAGCTAACACTGCATATATCCTTTTTTTACCTTTATTATAGAGGTGTGTGTGTGTGTGTGTGTGTGTGTGTGTGTGTGTGTAATAAAGGTAAAAAAGGATATATGCAGTATTATCTTTATTTTAGATGTCAAAAGGGTCTCTCTCTTTCTCCCTTTCTCTCTTTCTCTCCCTCTCTCTCTCCCCCCCCCCTCTCCCTCTCTCTGATCTTCTGCTTCCTGGCAAGCTGGCTTCAAGCTGTTCTCCGACAAACTCAGGGGTAGGCAACCTTGGCTCTTTTATGACTCATGGACTTCAACTCCCAGAATTCCTGAGTCAGCATAGCTTCGCTAGCTAGCTCTCTCCTGCCCTTCCTGTTTCCTGCTTCCTGCAGAGACGCAGCAAAGGGAGGAGCTCCGCCCAATAAGCTATTTAGCTCCTCAGAGAACACGGTGGGTCCACTCTCTTTTTCACACAAACACATACACACACAGAGAGAGACAGAGAGAGAGAGAGAGAGAGAGAGAGAGAACACTCTGTCTCTCTGCAAATGGCAGAGGAGGCTGGGAGCCGCAGGGGACGGCTCAAAGAACCACATGCTCCTCCGGAGCCGCAGGTTGCCAACCTGTGCCCTATACTATTTCAGACAAGTGACTCTCCAGTCTCTTCTTAAAAACCTCCAGTGATGAAGCACCCAGAGCTTCTGATGGCAAGCCGTTCCACTGATTAATTGTCCTCACTGTTAGGAAGTTTCTCCTTAATTCCAGTTTGCTTCTCTCCTTGATTAGTTTCCATTCATTGTTTCTTGTCCTGCCCTATGTGCTTTGGAAAATAAGTTAACCCCCTCCTCTTTGTGACAACCTTTGAAATACTGCTATTATGTCCCCCCTTAAACCTTTTCTCTAGACTAGCCAAATCTAAATCCTGCAACCGTTTTAGTCTCCAAGGCCTTTAATTATCTTAGTTGTTCTTCTTTGCACTTTTTCCAAAGTCTCAACATCTTTTTTGTAATGTGGTGACCAAAACTGGATGCACTATTCTAGGTTTGGCCTTACTTAGACTTTATAAAGCGGTACTAATATTTCACATGATTTTGATTCTATGCCTCTGGGGAGTTGGCTATTCCTGCCAGCTTAATGTCATCTACAAATTTGATGAGTTCCCCTTCTATTCTTTCATCTAAGTAATTTATGAGGCTATTGAAGAGTCCTGGGCCTAAGATAGAACCTTGTGGTACCTCACTGCTTACTTCCCTCCATTGTAGATGTAGCATCATTAATGACGACTCGTTGAATACGATTTCTCAGCCAGTTACAAAACTATCTGGTGGTGATGCTATCTCACATTTTTCTGCCTTAGCAAGAAGTAGGATGTGGTCTACTTTGTCCAGGCCTCACATTCAAACTTGATAAGCTAGGTATTTATAGCATTTAAAGAATACATTATGGTTTGAGAAAACCGATACTGCACTTAAAAATCTTTCTTTCTCCCTCTGCTTTTTAACAACATATTGCAATATTTCCTTGGAATTTTGTATATTACATGAATAGGGCAAATGATTGCCTTTAAGTGGTAGTTTGTAATAAGTTTTATTTCTTATAATATCCTCTTCCTAATAAACTAATAGCAGTTCTGCTGTTTAATATTCAAGCTATCCCAGATACATCATTCCTTTTTTTCTTAATAACTTGTAATATTTGCTTTCAGCAGAGGATTATAGAAGATCTTGTCTAGCAATTGAATATTAAAAGATAAGGAAGCAGCATTAATTATCTTTCTAACTGTAGAGTTTACCTTTCCACAAATACTGTGGTGGAGATGATCCTCCTCACATAGTCCTTTGCATGCTATTAACCTATGAAACTGAAGCAGAAGATATTATGAAGCAAACAGCTGTCATCTTAAAATCCTCTCTTAATGATACATTATTATAGACATTATTTAATGTCTTTATATAATTTGCTCTAGGCATTTTGGAGGCTGATGTATGGGCTAAAATCCGTAAAGTAAGCAATATTTTTACTTTTAAAAATAGGAAAATAGGTAATAAAGTAAAACACCAACTTCTGTTGCATAATAATAATAATAATAATAATAATAAAGTTGGAAGGGACCTTGGAGGTCATCTAGTCCAACCCCCTGCTCAGGCAGGAAACCCTACACCATTTCGGACAAATGGTTGTCCAGTCTCTTCTTAAAAACTTCCAGAGTTGGAGCATTTACTGCTTCTGGAGGCAGGCTGTTCCACTGGTTAATTTTTCTAACTGTCAGGAAGTTTCTCCTTAGTTCTAGGTTGCTTCTCTTCTTGATTAGTTTCCATCCATTGCTTCTTGTCCTGCCTTCAGGTGCTTTGGAGAATAGCTTGACTCCCTCTTCTTTATGGCAGCCCCTGAGATATTGGAATACTGCTATCATGTCCCCCCTTGTCCTTCTCTTCGTTAAACTAGACATGTTGATTCATTATGTGCCATCACGTATTAGTGATCATTAGTGTAGAATGATCTGTCCTAACCAAGCCCTTCAGGCTGTCCAATATTGCACTTGTCATCACTCTATTCAAGTTCATCCATCTTACTGCTGGTTTTCTTCTTCTCTTTCCTAGCATCATATATTTCTCAAAAGAGCTTCTCTTTACATTGTGTGTCCAAAATATAATTTCAGCCTGCTCATTGATGCTTCAAGTAACAACTTGGATTGATCGGTGATCTATTTATTTGTCTTCCCTGCTATCCTTAGTATTCCCAGGAGTCTTCAAGTTTGAAAGTGTACTCTTTCTGTGATTTTCAAAATCTAGCATTCACTTCCATAGAGTGTTACAGGGAAAACAATTGCCTGCATAATTCTGAACTTTGTAGGTATTGACATGTCAAAGAATATTTTTTCAAGGCCTTCAGTATTACATTACCAAATGCTAATCTCCGGTATATCTCTTGATTGCTGATTTCTTTACTGTTAATAGTTGATCCCAAAATACAGATACTATCTTTGCTATCTGCCTTGTCAATTCTAAGGCTGATTGCTGTACTTGTTATTATTATTTTTGGTTTCATATTTAATCTCAGTTGCATTTTTTCACTTTGCTCCTTGATATGTTGTTACAGAGTTTACAGATCATTTGATTTTTCAGCTATCATTGAAGTGTCACTGTCTATAATATAAATTATTACTTCCTCTAGTTTTGAAATCATGCTGATCTTTTTCCAATCTAATAAGCAATAAGGAGAACTGCAAATGTCATATTTTTGGATCATTTCCCTTAATAAATCAGTGAACAAGTATAAAGTTTTTGACAATTATTTCATTGGGTACTCTTTATCTAGTTTAAGGACTTATGTGAAGAACAGGTTGTGTTTTAGGACATACTGTATTTATACAGAAATATTGAAAATTCAAAAGGGTTCACAAACATTTAAGCACCACTGTAAAGCTATAATGTGGGTAATATACAAGACCTAGGTATGTTGTTACATATATCAGTATATATTCCTGAATGACAATTTTTTCTAAAATGCTTAGAAATATATTTGATAAATATTTATGCTAACCATTAACTTTTGCCTCGCTATATGTTTTCAGGTTAAAGAACTGAATCACTACTTGGAAACTGAGAAATCCTGTAGGACAGATCTAGAAATGTACGTGGCTGTTTTGAATACTCAAAAATCAGTTCTGCAAGAAGACGCAGAAAAATTACGGAAAGAACTTCATGAAGGTATGGATTTTTCTCTGGGCTAAAAGTATGAAAATAATTTAATATAGATTTAGAACAGTGTTTCTCAACCTTTTTAATGCCGTGACCCCAACCGGTCGTAAGTCGAGGACTACTCAACCGGTCGTAAGTCGAGGACTACTCAACTGGTGCAGCACCATTTGCAGAATGGGACTTTTGGCGAGCTCAGCAGGGCAATTCTGGACAATTCCTATTGGCTTTTGAAAGCCAATAGAATTAGACTCTATTCAAGAGAGTCTATTCTATTGGCTTTCAAAAGCCAATAGAATAAAAGGGAGTAGCACAGCTAAGGAAAAGGGGGAAAAAAATGGCGGACTGCGTTGTTTGGCGACCCCCGTGAAATGGTCGTGTTGACCCCAAATGGGGTCCCGACCCACAGGTTGAGAACCACTGATTTAGAACATGCAATACATGCTCAAGCTAAGCTGTATGTAATGCTCTTCTAAATACAGTGTAATGTCATCTCATATTGGAAAAATAACTTTTAGAGCTCACAATCCAAGGAAGGCAGGAAGCTTCATACCAACCAGAATGCAGTCTTTGATTTACAATTAGTATGTATATAAAGTTAAAATTTTATTTTTTTTAAATATGTGATGCATATTAAGGGAACTATTTATTTTGTAATTTGTGGAGTTTTCTCTTTTTTGACTTTCTTTTACCTCTATTTGACATCTGAACAAATGGTTTTCTGCAGAATGAAATTATAAAGAATATTAACTCAATAAAGAGCTATAAAGAAGCAATGTTGTTGAAATAGGGTAAACTTACGTGAGCAATATCAAGCAGTAAATCCAGTTCTTCATGTGTTCTTGAGTACTGAGAACAGACAGAATAAAATTGGAACATTGTTTCTTACCTATGAGTAGCCTTCTGAGGCTCAGATCTGATTTGCCTGTATTAGGATCTTACAAAATTATTATTAAAAATGCTTTTTATTATTTAGCTGATTCCACATAATCTTCTCTGTAGAAGAATGCCTAAAGAATGCCTTCTATATTTGTGGTAGTTCCTATTGTATGCACATATAGTTTAGGAGACGTAAAGCATTCTGGACCAAATAAATCTTTAATGCTGTTCTTCCTTATCCATTGCTTCCACAAGAACTCAATATGCACTCTCCTGAAAGTCTTATACCAGGAGAACCTGTAATCTGAGTTTGATGAGATGAATGTGCTTGGAGCTCTTCAAAATGTAACATGCTTATTATATCAATATGAGTAAATCATCCAGAATGATTTATGCACCCCATAAAATTAATGGTGCAACAAAATATATCAATTCAATTGTTGTAGTGGTTCTCAGAGTTGCTACAACACAAGTTAAAAAAAATTAAGAACACAAATTAAGAAAAAAACCCTACATTTTCTTTAGTGTTCAAAACTATGGAAAATAGTATTGGCTGAAAACTTAACATAACAACAAAGAGTAGTTCTTACCAATGTGTATCCTTAACAGAACCGCATCTATGTGAAGGAAAGTATGCAGTGGGATACCCCAAGGCTTTGCCTTAGGCCCAGTATTCTTCAATATCTTCATCAATGATTTAGACGTGGAGTTAGAAGGGGAAATTTGCAGACAACATCAAGTTGGCATAAATAACCAATACTCCAAAATATAGGGTCAAGATACAGAAGGATGTTGACAGTCTTGAACACTGGACCCTATCTAACAAAATGAAATTCAGTAGTGAGAAAAATAAGTTTTCACTCTTAGGCAAGAAAAGCCAAATACACAGGTATAGAATAAGGTAGTATCTGACTTAATAGTAGTAACTGTGAGAGGGATCTGGGAGTCCTAGTGGACAATCATTTAAATATGAGCCAAGCAGTGTGCTGCAGCCACCAAAAAAGCCAACACAGTCCAAGGCTGCATTAACAGAGGGATAGAATCAAGATCATGTGAAGTGTTAGTATCACTTAATAATGTCTTGGTAAGATCACAGTTGGAATATTGCATCCAGTTGTGGTTGCCACAATATAAAAATGATGTTGAGACTCTAGAAAGAGTGCAGAGAAGAGCAATAAAGATGACTACGGGCTTGGAGGCTAAAACATAATGAAAAACAGTTGCAGGAACTGGGTATATCTAGTCTAAAGAAAAGAAGAAACAAGGGTGACATGATATCATTGTTCCAATATTTGAGGCACTGCCATAAAGGAGAGGGGATTCAGCCTATTTTCCAAAGCACCTGAAGGCCAGATAAGGAATAACGGATGGAAACTAATCAAGGAGAGATCTAACCTAGAAATAAGGAGAAATTTACTGACAGAACAATTAACCAATGGAACAGCTTGCCTTCAGATGCTCCATCACTGGAGGATTTTAAGAAGAGTTTGGACAATCAATTGTCTGAAATGATTTCATGTTTCCTACTTCAGCAGGGGTTGGACTAGAAGGTCCCTTCCAACTCCATTATTCTCTGAGTCTTGAAGAAAATTTAAAGATTCCTTTTGCTGCATTTTATTTCTATTTTAGTTAGGATAAAAACATTGAATGTGTGGTTGAAAATGGTGTATCGTTCCTTATGTTTATTAAATATATTTATATAAATACATATTTATATTAATATATAACTATAAAATAAATTTATTACCAATTTTCTTGCTGTTGTTTTTAGCTATATAGTTTCTGTTTTACTCATTTGGTTTTTAAGATTCTTTTTTTAATTGTCTATACTTCATGATTGCTGTCTATAAGAGCAGTAAATTATGACATGAAATGAGGACTATTTGAACAGTATGCTTACATGGCTTCCAATTATTGTGTATGTTAGTGCTCAGTATGTTCCTAGATATGTACAAAATATTATTGCAGTTAACTTTGTGAGCAAACTTAACTGCAACAATTCAAAATGGAGTTCACTGTCTGTTTTCATATAGTATGCCATCTACTAGAGCAGGAAAGGCAACAGCATAATCAGCTCAAGCACACATGGCAGAAGGCCAATGACCAGTTCTTGGAGTCACAGCGTTTATTGATGAGGGACATGCAGTGGATGGAGATGGTGCTGACCTCAGAACAGCTACGGCAAGTTGAAGAACTAAAGAAAAAAGACCAGGTTAGCTAATGCAGCATTGAGATTTGTAGCCAGGCTTGCTTGTGATTGAACAAGGGAGACTGGAGGAAGATGCAAGGGAACACTCGTTTCTAGTACTGTAATATTTGGGGGGAGGAGGGCATATTCTTAATGATATCAAGTATCTAGGTGGGATTAAAATGGATTGTGATATATTTGTCAGGTTGGTTGTACATATGCAGAATGAACAGAAGAAGGATATGCATTGTGAATTATGCAGATAGTCCTCAACTTACAACCATAATTGAGACCAGAATTTCTGTTGCTACGAAAGGCAGTTTGCTAAATGAGTCGCACCTGATTTATGACCTTTTTTGACATGGTTGTTAAGCGAATCATGCAGTCGTTAAGTGAACCATGTGATTGTAAAATGAACCTGGCTTCCCCCCATTGACCTTGCTTGTCCAAAGCTGGCTGAGAAGATTGTAAACGGAGAGCACAGGATTCCAGAACCCTGCAACCGTCATAAATACATGCCGATTGTCAGTGCCCAGAATCTGATGACAGGACCACGGGGATGCTGCGACAATTATAAAGTGCAAGGATCAGATCCAAGTTACTTTTTTCAGTGCTGTTGTAACTTCAAACGGTCGCTAAAGAATAGTTGTAAGTCAAGGACTACTTGTAGTTTGCATAATTTGTATGGGCTTCTGATGTTTGCATTACTAATATCCAATATTTTGCATAAGGAAATATTTTAAGTTAGATATATTGAAATGTCAATTATACTAAAAGATAATGATGTTGTAGTCTGGATTTTTAAGAACGATTTGTATTAATCTGAAATGATGCAGTTTTGGTATGTGGGGATAAAGGGAGCATTTTGTGTCTTGCATATTTAAAAAAAACACTTTGATTTTCAACTTTTATTCTAGGAGGACGAAGAGCAAAGAAGACTTCATAAAAGGAAAGGAAAGAAGGAGAAAGGCACTGACGATGAATCAAATGTACCGGTAATATGTTCTACAGTTCATGAAGAAGCGCTTCCATCATTCCCTGGTGAAGAGGTAAACTTAGTTATTTTAACAGCACTCTCTTCATTGGGAATGTTTTTTCTTCTTCTTCGTTTTTGCTTAGTGTGTTACGTGAATCAACCCATTTAGTCAGTTTATTGCCCAGTATATTGTACAAACTGACAATGTATTGCGTGGTTAATTTAATAACCAGGTTAAGCACATTGTGTGAATAGTTCCATAAGTCACTCTTCAATGATTTTTTTATGGAACAGTTTGACAGAGATTGAAGGTACAGCCAGGGGGAGAATGCATTTGATTTTTGAATACTGTATCTATAAGAGCTGGTTTTATACCAGCCCTGAAATTGGCAATTGAAAGCAAATTCTTCTTTTCTTGCAACAATGTTTAAAATTACAATATTTATTGTGAAGCAATTGATCCATTGTGTGAGTTTTCTTACCATCTCCTACAACTATGTAACTTGACTTGAAATTTATTTTATTATTGATCCATGACAAAATATGTTTCAGAAGTTAGCTTTTAATCAAGGTACAGGTCAATAAGTATGAAATAATTTGAGACGTTGTAAGTATGGTTTAAAAAAGGGAGAGATTGTTATATGACTTTGCAAAATATTTTGGCAAGGGATTCTGTTCTCTTACAAACAGATTAATCACTGATGTTTGATAGCTTTGTATTTGAGAAACTGTTCCAAATAAGCCTAAAATGGAAGACAGATGTTCCAGTTCTTTCACAATACATTCTCAATGAGAATTTTGTTTTGTGTTTCCTCAAAATATTTATCTTAAGCTTTACTTTCAAAGTAAAGAAGCTATTTTTATGAGTTACAAACAGGATGGACAGGTTCTATTAGAAGGAATTAATACTGATGGTACCTGAGGTTAAGCTCTATAGAGCTTTATAGGTCACTATCAGCACCTAAATTATATTTAGAAACATATTAGCAATGAATGTAGTATTTACTGATCTGGTCCTACAGTTGAATCATATCTTCCTCATCAGAATGCAATCTGCAACATTCTGTACGAGTTGCAGCACTTGAGCGGTCTTCAAGGACAGCTGTAAATAGAGCATAGTTCAGTAACCCTGTTTGAAGTGAAGAGACTATGAATTGCTTCCTGCTCCCCAAATGGCTGTGGCTAAGCAAATGCATCTCTGGCCATATTTTCCACTTAACTGATCCATTCAGAGTCTGAATCTAGAAGCATTCTAGTCTCCTTTAGAACTATTTCTTTAAGAGCACAGCCCATTCCAGAGCAAGTAGAGGGGTTGACAAACTGTTGATTTCTGAATAAGAAATAACTCCTAATCTGAATGAAAATAAGCTATAAAAAGATAGCATGCATCAAAAGTGAAATGTTATGAATAATGAAAACTCCACTGAAGGGGTAGTTGGAAGAAGATTTCATTTTGGAGATAAATGAGGGGGAAAGTCCATAGCTCATTGGCAGGTTAAATATTTTAGTACTCCCCAAATTCTCCATTCAGTTCTCAGCACTTCTTGAATACTGATCTTTAGAAATATTCAAAGCTGTTCAGTGTAGACAGGACCTGTTGGTGGAGCAATGATTTGGCTGGATGTAAGGGAGTTTCTATTATTGGACAGTTTTTCTGTTTCAATTATAGGTGCACATCAACAGCACTCATGGTTCAGCCCACTCGCTTGACACAGATGCGTTGCTGTCTTCAGGAGAATCTCTCAAGTCAGACAGTGACATGTTTAAAGAGGGACTGCGTAGAGCTCAGTCAACAGACAGTTTGGGAACATCGGGATCTTTACAAGCCAAAAGTCTGGGCTACAACAACAAAGCCAAATCAGCTGGGAATCTTGATGAATCTGACTTTGGGCCATTGGTTGGGGCAGACTCTATATCAGAGAACTTTGACACTGCCTCCCTGGGCTCTCTGCAAATGCCTGGTGGGTTTATGCTAACCAAAGACCAGGAAAAAGCAATCACAGCAATGACACCAGAGCAGGAGGAAACAGCATCCCTTCTCTCCAGCATCACACAGAGTGTAGAAAATGCTTATGTGTCTCCTAATGGTTACCGTTTAGTTAGTGAAACAGAATGGAATCTGCTTCAGAAAGAGGTATGTGTTTGTACATACTGTATACCAGTGATGGCGAACCTTTTAGAGACCGAGTGCCCAAACGGCAACCCAAAACTCACTTATTCATCGCAAAGTGCCAACACAGCAATGAAACCTGAATACTGAGATTTTAGTTTAGAACAAACAACTCATACATTAACATCTTTTGTCTTAAAAGAAAAATACAATAACAAAGCTTTCAATGATACAAACAATTTTTATTGAAAGGTAAAAGTTTGCATTTGGCATGCTTTTGAACAGTTAATGTGATTTTTGCTGTTGTATGCATGCTGATATTTTGTCAAACCTTGGCTCATACTTTGTAAGTTTGAGAGCAACACATGCAGCACTAAGGGCATCTGTTAATCTGTTTCTGGTATCAGATTTGATATAATTCAAAGCTGAAAACAGCTGCCCACAAGCAAAAAATGATCCAAACAAACAAAGGAAAGCAATCCCAAATGCTTTCATTGACTTAAAATTATTTGGCAGAGAATTCCACATTTTAAGGATTTCATTTTTAGAACTAACTGTGCTATCCTTCGTGATCTTTGTTTTCGCAGGATTGCTCTCAATAAGAGAGAGGCACGCTTTGGCTCCGTTTTCACTAGGAAGGGGCTTGGGAAATGGCTTTTTCTTGGTGAAAACAAGCCTCCGAGCCCTGATGCTGGCGGAGAGCAGAACAGACCTTTCCTTGTCTCCCCTTGCTTCCCCAAAGCCTCCCTTCACTAACCTCCTTTCCAGCTCTGTTCTCCACCACCGCATGCAGGGTAATAAAAGAAGCTTGTGGGACTACCGGTTAAAAAAAAAAGTTCAACCAGACCTTCCAACTTTGCGAGATCTTTTTTTTTCCACAAGAAGTTGGAAGGTCAGATTTTTTTTTTTAGTCCCACAAACTTCTTTTGTTGCCCTGCACACAGAGAATGGAGCTCGAAAGGAGGTTAGTGAAGGAATGTGGTTGCTCGGGGATGGGAGTTAGGATTTGGCCTTGTGGATGCCCTGGGTTGTGGTGGGGATTAGGGTTTGGCACTGTGGATTGTGGAGTGTTTGTGCTCTGGTGGGGCTATTCAAAATGCAGAGATTCCCTGCATTTTGAAGCACCCTGTGTGACTGCATGGAAAGGAGCGCTCCGTTTCTCAAGCACCCCATTCCAGGCATACGGAGCTTGCAGTCTTTGTCAGATCTGCAAGCTCCATATGCCTGGAATTGGGCGCTTGAGAAACAGAGCCTTCTGCCAGATCTCTGTTGGGATAAAAAAATGCTCCCACACCTATGAAGCACTTCCAAACAAAGGGATTGGCTGTTTTTGGAAGCACTCTATAGGAGCTAAAAGACTGTATCCCAATGGACTGCAAGCTCTTTGGCTAAGTTTTCGCAGGATTGCTCTTAAAAAGAGCTAGGAAGGATCTTGAGAAATGGCTTTTTCCTGCGAAAACTTAGCCAAAGAGCGAGGTGCGCGTGCCCACAGAGAGGGCTCTGAGTACCCCCCCTCTGGCACGTATGCCATAGGTTTGCCACCACTGCTATATACTCTCATCAGTATTTTACAGATGATTATGTATTACACAGAGGATGATTTGTGTATTACATGCTACCTCTCTCCTGAAAATATCTTGATTTTTATCCAAAATTGCTACAGTTATAGCCATCATCATAGTTGAAATTACACATATTCTTCTATGAAGCTTCCCAGAGAAGTAACGGTTTTATGTTCTCCAGGTGCAAAATGCTGGGAACAAGCTGGGAAGGCGCTGTGATATGTGTTCAAATTATGAAAAACAGTTGCAAGGTATCCAGATTCAAGAGGCTGAAACAAGGGATCAGGTGAGTGCAGTTTGGTCTCTCAGTTGATGAGCCGAGGTGGCGCAGCAGTTAGAGTGCAGTACTGCAGGCAACTTTAGCTGATTGTGTTCAGCAGGTCAGCGGTTCAAATCTCACCGGCTCAAGGTTGACTCAGCCTTCCATCCTTCCGGGGTAGGTAAAATGAGGACCCAGATTGTTGGGGGCAGTGTCTTGGCGATGTTTCGACGAAGTCCCATTCGTCATCTTCAGGCTGGTGTTTTCAGCTTCGTGCTCCTCGAAGCACGAAGCTGAAAATACCAGCCTGAAGATGACTAATGGGACTTCGTCGAAACATCGCCAAGACACTTCCAATTTTACGCGGGAGAAAACCCGAACAACCAAAGACCTACATATATATATATATATATATAGGTCTTTGGTTGTTCGGGTTTTCTCCCGCGTAAAATTGGAAGTGTCTTGGCAACGTTTCGACGAAGTCACATTCGTCATCTTCAGGCTGGTGTTTTTAGCTTCTTGCTTTGAGCAGCAATGTGTGGTTTTAGCTGTTTCTTCCTTTTAACTGCAAGTGAGGGTATGAACTGATTGGATGGGAGCTTGGCTGTGTTCTGATTGGGTGGAGGTGTGTTCTGAATGGTTAGGGGCTTGGCTGTGCTCTGATTGGCTGGGGGAGTGTTCTGTTTGGTTGTGCTCAGGTTAGTCTGAGTTGCAGAGGGATTCAAGATTTTGGGCTGCCCTGCCATTCCTTGGCTTCGTGTTCGTGGTCGTGTTTCCTCTTCATGGAGGGTGTCAGTTTGCTTCATGTATGGATTGGGGGGGTTTAAAGTGGCTAATGATGCAGCTGTGGTCTGGCTTCTGGTTTGTGGTCGTGCCTCATAGTCAGTGTGGCTTTGGGTTTGTTTTTTGCGTGGATGTTTGGTGGTGACCTCCTGTGTGGTTTTTGTGAGTGTTGGTCTGGTATCATTTTTTGTGTTAGGGAGTCGTTTGTCAATGAGGGCGGGTTTCCAAATGGCTGGTAGGCGGGAGGTATCATCTCGCTTGTTCATGCTGTGTGGGCGTTTTTCTATCTCAATGGCTTCTCTGATTATTCTGTTATTAAAATGTTCACTTTTAGCAATGGTTCTGGTATTTTTAAAGTCAATTTCATGTCCTGTAGCTTTAAGGTGTTGGACCAGGGAAGATGTTGTTTCCTCTTTTTTGATTGAGTTCTTATGTTCTTCAATGCGTGCACTTATTCTTCTGTTGGTTTGTCCGATGTATGTGGTGGGACAAGTGGTGCATGGGATTTCGTATACTCCTTGATTTTCTAATTCAATTTTATCTTTGGGGTTTCTAAGGATGGTGTATATTTTTCTGTTTGTGCAGAATGCTGTTTTGATGTTGTGTTTATGGAGGATCTTACTGATTCTGTCTGTGATGCCTTTTATGTATGGGAGGATGGCTTTGCCGTGTTCTTGTTCTTTGTCTTGGATTTTAGTGGGGGTTTCTTTTTGGATTAGGTTTGTAATCTTATTTCTATGGAATCCATTGGATGTTAGTACATTGGTGAGACTGTGTAGTTCGGGTTTTAGGTGTTGTTCGTCAGCTAAGCGTTTTGTTCTGGAGATGAGTGTCTTGGCTACAGAGTTGATCTGTGCTGGGTGTTGGTGTGAGAGAGCGTGCAGATAGCGGTTTGTGTGTGTTTTCTTCTGGTAGATGGTGTGTCCTAGGGAGCCATTGGATTTATTGTAGACTAAGACATCCAGGAAGGGAAGTTGGTTGTTAGTTTCTGTTTCCATGGTGAACTGTATTTTGGGGTGTAGGCTGTTGAGGTGTGTGAGGAAGTTGTCCAATTTTTCTTTCCCATGTGGCCAGATTATGAAGGTGTCGTCTACGTATCTGAGCCAGAGTTTGGGTTTGTGATCCGATTTTTCTAGAGCTTGGGTTTCAAAGTGTTCCATGTAGAGGTTGGCAATGACAGGTGAGAGGGGTGATCCCATGGGTGCTCCTTCTGTTTGTTTGTATTTTTGTCCATTATAGATGAATTATGTGTTGGATAGGCAGTGGTTGGTCAGATCTAAGATGTGTTTGGGGGGGTTATATTTGTTTTGGATAGCTGTCAAGGCTTCTTTGATAGGCACTTGTGTGAAGAGGGATATGACATCGAAGCTCACTAGTAGGTCGCTGGTCTGTAAGTTTTGTTTCTTTATGATCTCTATAAACTGGAATGAGTTTTTTACGTGTGAGGTAATGGATTCTGCATAGGGCTGTAGTTGTTTGGCGAGAAATTTGGCTAGGTTTTGTAGAGGTGAGCCTATGGAGCTGACTATAGGTCTGAGTGGGGTTCCTTCTTTGTGTATCTTGGGGAGACCATAGAGTTGGGGCATCTGGATGATTTCTCTCTGGGAATGATTCTTTGCTGGATCTCTTCGCTAATGGGGGAGGCTTTTATTTTGGATCTGGTGGTTTTTTTCAGGTAGGTGGTGGGATCTGTATTTAGGGGTTTGTATGTGGAGTCTTGGAGTAGGTTGGTTAATTTGGTTTGGTAGTCAAATGTGTTCATAACCACCGTGGCGTTGCCCTTGTCTGCTGGTAGGATTATTATGCTGGTGTCTTCTTTAAGGTTACGTAGTGCTGTCTGTTCCTCTTTGGGTAAGTTGCTTTTGGGTGGCTTGCTGGTGCAGAGGATGTTGGTGATTTCGAGTCTGATTCTGTTAGCATCGTCGGGGTTGATTTTGGTCAGGCTGGTTTCAATTCCACATATAATGGTTTCAGTGGGGATGTGTTTGGGAGTGACTGCAAAGTTGAATCCTTTGGAAAGGACATTGGTTTCGGCTTTGGTGAGGATCCTATCTGAGATGTTATGCACTGTTTGCTTCATGTGTGGCTGTGAGGGGGGAGGGGTTTGTTTCTGGCGTTCTTGTAGTCTTCGGAGTTTGTTGGTGTGTGTATCTGTCTTGAGGGTGGTCTGTGTTTCGGCTCTCCAGACGGCAAGTTGTTTGGATTTGCACCAGCAAGCCACCCAACATATACATACATACATACATACATATATATATATATATACTGTAAGAAATGATCCTTAGTGCTGACTTACTGTAACCTCGTCCTGACTCCAGCTCCAAGTATCACCACACAAACACCACGCCAGGTACGAGGACTAACGCTTTAATATGCTTCTTACACCGGATGCACAAAGTCAGCACTAAGGATCATTTCTTCCAAGTGTGGTTATATACAATTCATCGTTGCCCCACCTTTCTCACACCCACACCAACGCCCATGCAGCACCACCCACGCCAACACCCATACAGCACCACCCCTATGTCTTACCCCGCCCCATTCTCGCATAACCGGCCATTAATCCCGAAGCTTCCAGACGATGCCTTTGTCCAGCTGTAGTGCGATCGCTCTATCTGCTTCAGTTCTGTGGCCACGCATGCGCAGTTAGTGGTTTAGGCTGTCTCGGTCCTTTGCGCATGCGTGGCCTTGTCCTAGGCACCAACTGCGCATGCACGGCAATTGGACTGCGCAGGCATCAACTGCGCATGCACGGCGATTGGACTGCGCATGCTCGGCATCGTCAGCTGGATGTCGGGCCTCAGATCACCGTAGTCAACTCAGGAAGCTTGCTGGCCATTAGGTGAGTATCCGTCTGGAACGGGGTTTTGGGAGCGCCCTCCTCTAAGGCCCGACATATACATTGCTTACTGGTGTACACCGCTTAGAGAGTGCTTGCACTTAAAGCGGTATATAAGTCTCATAAATAAATAAATAAATAAATAAATAAATAAATAAATAAATAAATAATCAAACAGAAAGTGAGATGATTCCAAGGGGTAAGGAGAAATAAAAAGTTAATTTTCACTTAGGGCTATTTAGTTACTAATTACAGCACCAATACTACCCTATCTTTTCACAACTCAGGGCAATTTACATCATAAAATTAAAATAAAATGCAGTAAAAAATCACAAAGGCAATCCACGTTCATTGATCATCCCATTCATATTTCATCCTATTAAAGGTGTTAGTGTAAAACAGTGTTTCCCAAACTTGACAATTTTAAGGCATGTGGACTTCAACTCCCAGAATTCCACAGCCAGCGTTGCTAGCTGTGGAATTCTGGGAGTTGAAGTCCTCATGCCTTAAAATTGTCAAGTTTGGGAAACACTGGTGTAAAATGAGGACACGTTTGTTGGTGGTTCTCTATGAACCTTAGATATTACTCCTTTTCAGTTACTATTTCAGTTTTGTCTATTCTGACTCAACTTCTTAGGATTCAGCATATTTAAAACTCATTAGTTTGGCCAATAGAGTATATGAAAAGAGTTACCTCCCTGTAATAAATGAGACATTTATAGGGAAGCCATCTAATAAGAATAAGCCACACACCCATTAAACAATTGGAGAGAGATCTGAACTTTGAAAACTCACCTGGGTCTCAGCAAATTCCCCAGTTCCAACACCTTTGCCCTATAGGAGCTGGCCTTTGAACTCTCTCTCAGTAATATTCATACTGATATTCATGCCTAATCCAAGAATAGCCAAGTCAGTGTGTGCAGCTGAGGTAGAGACATCTGTGAAATGCCTGTTGCTATTTATGTCAAGGGAAAGCTGCTGGACCTTAAGACAGAATAAGCAGTGGGTAAAAACAACATTGCTAGCGCTTGTTCTCTTTGCTACATTACGAATTCTCGTGGCTAAAACATATAAGGAACGGTTGCTAGAATTGGGTATGTCTAGTTTAACGAAGAGAAGGACAAGGGGGGACATGATAGCAGTGTTCCAATATCTCAGGGGCTGCCATAAAGAAGAGGGAATTAAGCTATTCTCCAAAGCACCTGAAGGCAGGACAAGAAGCAACGGGTGAAAACTAATCAAGGAGAGAAGCAACCTAGAACTAAGGAGAAACTTCCTGACAGTTAGAACAATTAATCAGTGGAACAGCTTGCCTCCAGAAGCAGTAAATGCTCCAACACTGGAAGTTTTTAAGAAGAGACTGGACAGGACTTCCGGTGGATTTTGCGCGCGCGATGGCGGCTAC